AAAAGCATGCTGAAGCTGAATTTTAAAAACTGTGTGCTTGTGCAAGCAACCTTGGTGGTTTTCTTTTACATAATTTATTCAAGCTTGATGGTTTTCTAAATTCTGTATTTATTTTCACCAGCTGTTCTTTTTCATTCCTCTTTTTTTTTTTATGAGCAGGGGAGGATAGATTGGATCCTAGAATATGAAAAATGGCTTGCTTAATTGCAAGTTCTTGTTGCTTTTTATCTTTTCTTAAGCTTTTTTTCCCCCCAATGTCCACACTGTGAGTTCCTCCATATTATGACATCTTGATCACTCTTCCTCCAGAACCTTGTCCCATTAGTTCTGCTGTCCATCCATAAAATGGAAGAACAACAAGTGGTATCTTTTTTCCAAATTTGAGTGAGACTGGCAAATTTTCACAAGCAATATGATTGTTGTATTTTATTGTATTTTTTTCCTCTCCATTCTCAAAGTCAGAATATTACTACTAGCTTCCTCCTCACAGCTGTTCAAATACTGAATTTGTTCTTCCTAATCTGTAATTCTTCACAAAATCCCTGGAGCATTCTTCTGGATCAGTAAATCCAGAAAAAATTCTCTGACTATTTTCTTGACCCTGTCATGTGTATATTCTGTTACAACACTGAATTAGGTGCTAGTAACTCAAACTAGGGTTTTCCTGGAAAATTTCAAGAAATAGAACTATGCATATAAAGGGGAGGAGAAGGAAAGGTGCTATAGTAGTGATACATCATGACTAATAGAGGTGGTGAATGTCTTCTTCCACGTGTGTACCTTGTACAGCCAAAGATCTGTCAGGGTTTGGGTTAATGCATAACCATCAAAAATGCTTATATGGTATAAGTTGTTTGTCTGTTTACTGACCCGCTGTTTTGTTAGTCAACAGATGAAAAATATAACCAGCCTATAGAAATACTTAACTGAATCTTCTCACTGAGTATAAGTAAGAAGTAAATAAGAAGGTTAAGTTTACTTGTTTTAGGAAAGCAAGAGGGCTGTATTACCTACTGGCAAGAAGCTTGTTTGAAAGCTAATGGATGACTTTGAAGTTTATTAGAAGTTTGTAACTGACTTCATCCAAGTGCAAATTGCACTTTCTCTGTCTTGATGTATGAAACAAACTGTACATTTGATGTACAACACATTGATATGTAAATCTGTATTTCTAGAACAGAGTTTAATTTTTCCAGATTTTGTGAAGACAAATGCCCACCTCAGGTTTTTTTTATAATTATCACTGTCTCTATTAAAATCTAACTATGTAAAAAGTGCTTCCTCCCACCCCACTCAGCTATTGATGATTATGAAATAATGTGTGGCATTTTTGTTTAGGATTGAGGCCTTTGAGTGAGCAGTTAAACTGAATGTGTTTGGATGATGCTCTAGAATTCTCAGTGTTCATGAAAGGAAAAGGTATTGGAGAAGAGCTAGGGTTTTTCCCCATTGTTTTAATTTAAATGTAAATGATTAGGTACTGTAATGCTGTATTAGTCCATCTGTTCATTCCCAGAATGCTTATATAGTTTTGGGATTTTATGTATAGCCTTACATCCTATTGCAAAACAACTACATTTGATTAAAACCTCACATTGTTACAGCTCTGGATGAAGTAATTTATTCTTGTTTCTTTTTGCTGAATTGGCTCTGTGTTTTGTAGAATGCCAAGGTAACATTGAAACTATCTCAGAGATCTGTTGGTTTAATTGATAAATTGTTGATGTACTGTGAATCTGGATTCTTCTGAAAGGGATGTTAGGAGAGTGAGTGCTTTCCCAACTGAGAACCTTTGAGAGGTAAAGAGTGGCCTTAATTCCTCTTATGCAAGGCTTATCATTCTAGCCAGCAGGCAACTTATTAAAACAGACCTATATGGTACTCAGTGCAAAGAATGATACGGTGGTTGCTATTAATAAGGTTTTCCTTGCTATTTCCAGTGTTCGGTTTGAAATAATACACTGTCTTCACAAAGTTAGAGAATAATGCAAGTTATGGGTAACTTTCTTGGACCTACTTTTTTGGTTAAAACATCTCAATTTTATTTTTATTATTACAGTTGCTCACTCTGCCGTTCACAAGTGATGTACAGAATTTGAGTTCATGTTACCAGATTCTCTGCAAGAATCAGTGGTTTCAAAAATAGTCTTAACAAGGCCAGTGCCTTTCGAAAAGCAGAAATATCCCAGAAAGTTCAGCGGGTGCTCCCACTGAGCAAGTATTTTTAGCACTTTCTTTTTAGTCTTTCAGAGAGATTTTGAAGGCAGAGATCTCAAACAAATATATACGTCTTGTCTAGGGATTAGATGGGTCTAGCAAGTCTGACTTCACTAATGTTGCAGGAGAGAACTAGTCTGAATTAGTGTCTTGCTTGAGGAGATGTGGCAAAAGAGCTGTTGTAAAAAGTGTTTGGGTATGAATCCATACTACTGCTTCATGACACTTGTCATCTTTTCATTAGCTCTCCTTTTCATTTAAAGATTAGGTTCTCATAAAGTGCTCTCAGCAGAGTTGTGCACAAAGATGACTCTTGAGCTAGCGCGAAAGAGGTGGGTCACTCAAGTACACTTTTGGGAGTCCCCCTATATGTGCATCTATATTACCTTTGCTGTCTGTCATGATGCACTTTGGGGAGAACTGTAGAAGCTGGTTTGTGTGTTTCTTTGGGCCCAGCGAAATGGCCTATCTAATTGTTACTAGTGGTGAATGAACATCGGTAAGTGAATTGACAGACTTTTTTTACCTTTAGGGAATTACATGTGAATGCTGCTGTAGATGTCGTGCATCAAGGAGCACCAGTGTAACAAGCAGATGAGCTTTCTTTAGCTCTTACTATTAATGAAGTAAAAAGGGAAAACTTGCATGATTGTGAGGAGAGGAAGGTGTGTAGTACTGGATTTTATTTATAATAAAAAAATGATACGTATTGAATATGCTTGCAGAAGCTGCAGGCCTATATAGCTGTAAGTAGTTTATAAGAAATTTAGAAACTATGAATGAGGGACAGAGGAAACTGCATCTAAATTTCTTGTTGAATTTTTGATCCATTATCTCATAAGCTTCATTACTATTTTGTCATAGATCTAAAAAGTATTGTGTACACTGTAGGACAGAAGGACAATGTATGGTGATAATAACAAATAAGTAATGTTATTGCAAACTAATTTCTACAAAGACTTGTCAATGAATAATGTTGGGAACTGAAGTAGTGGATTTGGGGATGTTATTGAATAGTGCTAATAGAAAACAGAGTGTATGTTTTCTGACTGTTCCTTTCTTTCCAGCAAGTATTTTTGAGGGTTTGAACGTGGCGGACCTGTTTTCTTGCGTCCTGCTTACATTATGGCATTAATGGTTCTTTCAAGGTCTCCAGCTGTATTTCTGTCACTCAGCTGCAGCATGGGAACAGCCTGCTGTGCCCATGTGCCTGGCACCAGCCTGTTTCAGTAGAAAGATGAAGCAGCTCAGTGCAGGCTCTGTTCTGATGTTGATGGGTGCAACTAAGCACATGCTCGTGCTTTTTCTAGGAGTTCTTTTTTTTTTTTTTTCAGTTTGTTACTGTAACCAGAAAGCCTGGACAAACAGCATAAAGGCTTTTGTGAGAAGTACATGCCAAATAAGACAGGAGGAGAGTATAGGGAAGGGAAAGGAAAGGGTATTTATACAATTCACAAGAGAAGAAAAAAAAAAGATTAATTAAAACAGTAAATTAAACCACTGAAATAATCCATTAAGGAGTGGGTAACTGTTTTGAAAAACTAACAACAAACCCCATAACCATCCCTTTAATTTGGAAGTCACTGCTTTGTTTTCAAAGTTTGTTTCCAGAATGCTGTGGTTGTTTAGATTGTTGCTTCTAAAATAACAAAACCCCCCAAATTATTTCCCTGTATCTTGCTGAGGTTACTGTCATTGTGATGTCCCTCCACCCTTAAGTCATCCTTTTTGTTGTGCATGACTTAACAGGGCGTTTGGCCAGCACCCCTAGCTTATGGTAAATAGTAATGAGGCTTTCCATGTGTGTGAGCTGAAGCCAGTATCATTAGGTCACACTCACCCATTACACATAAATTAATTAAATGAGTCCACTTCTATCTTGCTGTCATGTTCCTCATGAGTAGTCCTGTTGTTGGAGCACTGAGCTGTGGAAATGATATTCTTCCAATTCATGGTGAAGCTATTTTAGCTTTTTTCCCATTTTTGTGTGTGGAATATATGTCTTTAATATTAGTGGTAAAAATGCAGTCTGAATTAGCAAAACCAAACTTTGGTGTGTTTAGTTTATCGGATTTAGAAAATTATAGGAGAGATGGGGTGAGCCTAGAACAGAACACAAAAAACTTTGTTCTTTTCCCTCTGTATAGTTGCTTGATTTGACAAATTGCTTCACTGTTTGGGAAACATGGGGAAAAAAACCCCTTTTTTTTTCCCCCCTGTTTATTACATTGCCATTATAATGGGAATAATTTTCTATATCTGATTGCTAGTCAGTCTAGCAAATAATTTCCTTTATTTTCTTAAACAATCACAGAAAATAGTAGTAGAAGAATATTTTCTGTTTAGTGTTCTTTCTACCTTATCCTTTTTGTCATTGCAGTGAACAAGTAATAAATTGACTAAACACCATTTGTTTTTATACCTACCTGTCAATGTACACCAAGCTGAGAACATAAGCAATTATAGGTGTATTCTTGCTCACAGTGGTAATTCCTATCAACATTTTTGTTTGCTTCTGTCCTGTAGAAAATAACGATGTAAGTTAGTTACTATTGCAATAGACATACTAAGTATGGAATTACAAGGCCAGCTGTTCTGTCAGATACATGTTCTCAGTAGGTTCCGCCATTATACATGCTGCTAAACAGTCTTGATCATAAAAGAAGTAAATTAATTGTCTTCTAACAATTGTTAGACAATCTTGGTGTGATGTGTATATATACCAGTGCACTCTTTTACTGAAATAAATGAAGCACTAATTACATTTTCTCTTCTTTCTCCAGGAAGCTACTGGCTGCCTAGAAATTAAGAAAAGGTGTGAGGAGTCTGGTTAATCAAGGTGGAATTTTTTTTTTTTTTCCAAGAGCCTTTTCACAATTGCCTTTTGCAAAATCTTTGGACGCTCCCCGTTGTGCCATGTTTTGTGGCTCTCACCGTAAGAGGAATTTGTCTTGATGAAGATTCCTAACATTGGTAATGTGATGAATAAATTTGAGATCCTTGGGGTTGTAGGTGAAGGTAAGTAGTATCTTAATAGAAAATTAATTGGAATTTTATATAGATTTGGCTTAGTCCCCTTGATGGTAGTAAGCTTTCATTTGCAAAATATTGCTTGTATGCAGATCTTAAGAAATACCAGATTTTTTTCTCTACAGCTCCTTCTAATTCCATTCTCAGGCAGAAGGAGAAGTTTGGAAGAAGGAAGGAAAAGAAATGGGACAGTTTTGTGGTTGTGGGGGTTTTTGTGGGTTTTGTTTTTTTAAAAGTTTAATATATTAATTTCTCTTTAGTGATACTAGGGGAGATGTAAGTTATCAAACTTCTCTGCAGGTATATTTTTAAAAATTTCAGCATTTTAGAATCCATTTACTTTCAAACAATTTTTATAAAATTGTTTCAGTGCACAGAAATTTAGTAAAATACCTGTATGTGCAAGTTTGGGTAATAATACTGGGATCAGTATTATTTCTATAGCCAGGAGGTGACTGAAGACTGTTTTATGCTGCTTTTATTTTTTCTGCTTTGAAATGGTTTATCTCTTATCTTCTTTGTTTCAGGAGCCTATGGCGTCGTACTTAAGTGCAGACACAAGGTAAGTAAATTGCTTTAACTCAGGCATAAGTGTTGTTATTTGGGTGAAACAATGACTTTTGATAACTGAGATGTGACTATGTGTGCAATGTGGCAGCTGGGGTGTGCTTTTCCTTGCAGTCAGTTACTCAGTTTTCTAACTGCAATAATGTCAGAGGAAATGGCTACATCTACTACCAAACCTCCATTTTTTTGGTGTTTAATATTTATCTGAAATATATGAAGTATTAATCATGTTTCATGAATCTCAACTAAGAGTTTTTTAAAAAAGAAAAAAAGAAAAGATGTTTTGGAATGCAGTTTATGCTCAAACAGTCAATTAGACGTCAAATGAATTACCAAATACTGCTGTATAAGTACTTACCTGTCTTGGGGGAGCAGGAGGGAGTTGGATGCATCTGGAATTTCTACAAGGTGTTGGACAATCAAACTGCACTGGGAAAGCACTGACTTCTGTGCTTGTTGATTTTAATTTGGAAGAGGAAGAAGTAAAAAAGGAAAGAAAAAGCCCCGTTTCAGACAAAAATGAAGTCTGGCAACCTGTCTATACTATTTTTAACTACTGTTTAAGTTGGATGTATCCAAACTTGCTGCTCATCAACAGGGAACTCTGACGTAAAGTACTTTGCTGTCTTTCGAGCTACAGTGTAGTCATATAACAAAATTAAGTTATACTTTTCTGAAGCAAAGCATTTCAGAATCATAAAATGATTCATTTGTAGCAATCCAGGAATATATAAAAGTCTTTATATGTAGTTTATACCATTTTCTAGAAATAGTTAACAGTGTGCAGAGGGCCTGACTTCCTATAACGGCTTTTAACATGTACACAGAAGGACTTTTGCACAGGACATATATTTGGAGTGGCTTACACTATTATACTGACTTAAAGGAAAAAAAAATTATAAACTGGAAAGATCGTATCTCAAGCTGAAGCCTTGTCAGGCTTGTGGGAGTTTATAACACTCAATAGAATGTGTTTGGTAAATTGGATGGGTTAGGATAGTTACAGAATAATAATTCAAGGTGAATAGTTTGAGCATACTTTAGTAGTGACAATATAGTTTATACTAGGCAGCTCTCTTCTTTATGGAGGGTAACCTCCCATGTCTCAAGAAGTTTCTAGGATTTCCTGCATTATTGAAAGAAATTTAAGTTCTGCATATTTTTAGTTATGTCCTCATTTGAAAGAGTTTACAGTATAGTATAATGTCAGAGTTTCTATAAGAATACCTTACAGTATACCAGGTGACTAGAAAGGAAAGGCTTTTCTTTGGCAGGGAACATTGATTTTTCTTGCAGCCTGTGTAGGGACACTGAATTGCTTGTGAGGATCTAAATTTGTAGGTAGTTGCACCATTTTTTTTTTCCTGCAGCTTCAAGCTTTGAAACAACTGTATTGAAGTTCTGAAACAAAGTGGTATTTATTAAAACTTCTAGCATGTGGGTTTACTAAGACCTAGGGTTTCCAGTATTTGGAGATCTAAAGAAAAGGCAAGGTATATTGTGATTTTTAAGCTTACTGATTTGTGATCCTCACTTAGTTAAAAAAAACTGCACCTAGCCTCTAAGAGCAGGTGACTTTAGGGGCTGTTTTACTCAAAAAGAGTAACTATCTAAAAATTAAGCTTTGACATGCATCTGTTTTTCCCATTATTTCCCTGACTTTTTGTCATATTAACTTTTTTCTTTTACACCTTGGTAAAATATGTTGAGACACACCTCTCCCTAGCTCTTTTGCAAGGTACCACCTAGATTCAGAGCAGACATGTCCTGCTTGTTGCCTAGAAAACATTTGATAATTGCCTTGGGAGTTTAGTTCATGTTTAATTGTAGGCATCATAATAAATATAATTTATTGGTCTTTACGTTTTTGATGGATTTGGTTATTTTTTACCTGGCTTATTCCTTTTAAATACAGAGGAAAAGTAACTGTTAAGGAAGAGAGTTGGAGAGACAGTATGAATTAGAGCTTGAAGGTGTGAAAAGATGCTGCCTGTTTGCTCCTGATTTTCATTTACCTTAAGACAGAAAAGATCCAAATTATAGACAGAAATTTTAAGGTGGTGATATTAATCACTGATTAGAATGAGGATGATGAAACTGAAGTTGTAGAGAAACACTGTTGTAATGGGAAGGGAGAAAGAAAAGGGGAGAAGATTCTAATTCTTTTAATTTCAAACATGTTATAAACTAAAGAGGTAGGTTTTAGGTGAGGCCTAAAACCAGTCACTAACTAGCTCAAAATGGGAATTTCTACCAAACCATGGTAACAAAGATTGTGCATTAAGTTACTTGTGTACGAAGGAAGAAAAAAACATATTGCAGGATCGTATATGTAGTTGTTCTCCTTGATCAAGAACTGTTTTTTTAATGCAACCTTCCTACTTGTATAGGAAAACAAAGATTTAATTCACTTTCATGAAGTCTTAACAGAATTACCTGGAAATGCAAGAGCATGTGAGTTTTTTTGTTTGGCTGCTGATGGGATGGGCTTTTTTTTTTTTTTTTTTTTTTTTTTTTTTTTTTTTTAAGAAAGATGTTTTTCCACGTAATCTGTCTGTAGGTAGCACAGTTGAACTGAGTGCATTACAGAGTAAGTCTATTCAGCACCACATAAGAAACCCAGAAACAGTATAAAAACTAGAGAATGTTGTTGTATTTTTAATTTATGTATGGTATATACCAGGCCATCGTTGGTCATGTTCACTCAGCATGTAGTGCTTTCCTTTTTGTGCAAAGCTAGCAATTATGTCTAAGAATTTGAATGTAGAAGTATTTATATTCCTCTTTATGAACAGTGGTAACATGCCAGGATAAAATTCTCAGCTATTTTAAATCAATGTGTCTCCATTGTATTGGTGAGAGGGTAAATTCTGTGTGAATCGAGGAGTTGGCTCCTAATTGCAACCGTTTTCCAATATATAATCCACCGGTCGGTGCGTCAATAAATATGTAGCTTTTTGCCACAGTGTCTTTCATCAGCATGTGTGTATGGATTTAAATTGGAGAGAATGGCATAAGAAACAAATACCTTGTCATTTTTTTATATATGTTCTTTCTTTGCTAAGGGAACATTATCAGAAAAACTGAAGTAGCTCCTCCAGAATGACTGTGTTTACGTTAGTATATAACATGTTTTTATCACAAGTACTTTATTGCTAATTGTGGTTTGTGCATAAAGTTTACTTGTTTATCTGTGCTTTTTTCCTGATGTAACGCTAATACAAATAATGTTGAGATAAACCAGATCTGATGTTCTGAAAAGTGCTTTCCTTCCTTTTCTTTTCTTTTTTTTTTTTTCTTTTAGTGAGAGGACTTTTCATAAGGAAATATACTGGAGTACATTGGTTTGAAAATAGTGGAAATATATTTTATATTCACAAACTATTAAAATAGGCTGTCTTGGCTTATTTACTGGATCTTGGCTGTGTTTTCTGAAAAGAAAAGCAACTTGAACAGTTCGTCAGTGTCAGAGAACATGGCTGAGGAAAAGAATCTTTGCTTATGTTTAAAACTTGTCAAATATTTGACCTTTTAAATAAAACCACTATCCCCTTTGCAGTGTGGGCTTGCAGCTTCATGCAGAGTTATCTTTTGCTAATAGGGACTTAGGCACAAATGTTAGGAGGACTCTGACATGGGATACAAAGCTGATAGTACAATATTGTTACTTAATAAAAAGATAGGAGGGTGCTGTGGGAGAACCATAGGTATCCAAAGACAGGCACAGTGAAGAAGGAAGCTTAGAGGAAAAATTTAAGACTGAAAGTCAGTGTGAAAAGGGAATGTATTGATATACTGTGAGGTAATAAACTGTGTATATAGAAGGAACATTGAAAATTGTAGCTGCAATTAGGAGGAGTTTGTAGAAATGACGTGAATACATCCTTGGACGACTGAGATAAGCGGAGACTGTCTCTAGGTAGACAAGATGATGACACTGGAACAGGGGGTCATTCATTAGAATGAGGCAGAGCTCATCACAGGGCCAGGCTGGAGAGGAAGAAGGATTTATACTGGCAGGCAACCAAACCATAGCTGTTATACTAATGCTTTGAAAGCACTGATTTTAACTCTGGGTTAAGTTCCCATCTGCAGAGCATGCATAGTGCATTGCTTTATCTAACCAGGGTTTTATCAAAGTTCAGTTGAATGTTTGAGAAGAGCACAGATGCAAGTCTGTTAAAAAAAAAAAAAACAAAAAAAACCCAAAAACAAACCCAAAAAAACCCAACTTTTTTTTTTTTTTTCCTTCAGAGCAGGATTTCATTATTATCTGGTAAATAAGGAATAGACTGCATCTTAAGAAATGAGCATGAAATACCTAGACACCTAAAGCTGATCATTACATAAATAACAAAGGGTGGAAGCTGATGATTTTCCACTTTTAGACTTGCTGGTTTGGGGGGCTGGCAGAAACTTACAGGAAAGAACACTGAAAATATGTGAAGGGAAGGTGCCTATATACATATATCCGTATGTGTAAATTTATGGGGTTTTTTAGGTTAGCTAGGTGTGCAGGAAGGTGTGTGGTGATGCAGATTCTCTAAAAGCACAATAGAAATTTATGTATTCTCCTAGACTTGTCCTTTCTATTGCTTATGTGCTGTGTGTTACGAGAGCCCTTTGGAGCCTGAGGGAATACAGTTCAATGATTTAGAAATTGAATGCCCTTTGTTCTTATATGTACAACATGTCCTGTCTAATAAGATGGTTTTTCTGATCTTTTATTTTAGAAGTATGTCTGGTTTGGGTTGTTCTTTATAGTATGAGATATTTTTAGATAGACACCACTGAACTCCCTTATTAAAAACAAGCAAAAAGAAATGTTAGTTTACAGAATTATTTGTCCACTTCAGTGCATTGAAGAATAATGAAGAATAACCTTTTTAATAGATTTAATACTTCCAGACAGTTTCCTCTTAGTCTAGTATTTAGTTTTGTCTTGTATGAGCCTTAAGTAATACTCCTGCATTGTCTTCTGATAAGTCTTGTGTG